GCCTCAACCATGCCACCACCGCCTCCGCTACTGCTGCAACCAACTTTGTCTTTCTTTCCTCCCAGCTTCTCTCCTCCCTAGATGCAAGAACACCACCAGCATCCAACATGTGTGGAGGTTCCAACGGCTCCAACCGTGGATCTCCGGGGGCGGGTTGCTTCCATGCAACGGACAAGTTGCAACACCCCTGTGGATCTCGTCCCCGGCGGAGCTTCAATGAAACGCCCCTGCTACTGCAACCCGGATCTCGCCGGCAGAGGAGCTGCAATGTAACGCTCGTTGTGCTGCGACTAGGGTCTCGCCGTCGGCGGAGCTGCATAGCAATACACATAGTGTTGTGACCTAGGTGTTGCCGCCGGATCTCGTCGGCGGCATCAAGGGTCGCTACATCGCAACTCTGGCGACCGCTCCATCATAGCTCCGGCACCACAGCATCGCAGCTCCGGCGACGTCGGTGACCGCTACATCACAGCTCCGACAGCGTCGACGATCGTTGCATCGCAGCTCCGGCGGTGTCGACGGCCGATGCATCACAACGCCGGCAGTGTTGACGACCGTTGCATCGCAGCTCCGGTGGCGTCGACGACTGCTGCATCGAAGCTCTGGCGACCATCGTATCACAGCTCTGGCACCAGTAAATTGCAGCTCTAGCGGCGTCGACAACCGCTGCATCGAAGCTCCGGTGGCGTCGATGACTGCTGCATCGTAGCTCTGGCACCACTACATGCAGCTCCGGTGGCGTCGCTGCATCGCTGCTCCGACGACTGCGGCATCACAGCTCCGGCACTACTGCATTGCAGCTATGATGAGATCGCAGCTGCTGCCTCCATGCTGTTGGGTGTGCTTGGAGGGCGACCATGGGTGTTGGATGGTGGTTCCTGTACTGGTATGCATCGAGGCGAATTCCGATCCACGGGACACAAAACGAACAACTATCATATGCACCATCGGACGGTTATCAAGGCGGCTTATAGCTGCGAGCTATCAGCCGGCTTACGCCTAGCATCCCTCAATAATATGCTCTAGTAATTGTTAGAGGGCTTTTATAATTAATTTAATATCAATAGGCCTAAAAGTGCCAAGTGATGGAAGGCAACTTGGGCCACCAAGGCCCAAGTAGGGTGTAACCCTAGGGGGCGATCTTTGACGATTCGGAGGGGGATTCCCGAAGAAAACGATGAACACAAGAGAGGGGAAACACTCAAATCAACGAGATCGGATTACACCTATGCTAAATCTATATACACAAAGAGGTGACACATGTCCAAATCCAACACAAGAAGATAGAAGAGGTAACTAGTTCATCCCAATCCTTGAAGGAGTTGAGGTCTTTAATCCTGGAGGATCTTCCCATGGGGTCTTGAATCCACTAGGGATCTTCTCAGATGGAGGTATTGAACTCCATGGGAGTGGTCTCTCTCTCTAAAGAGAAGAGTAGGTAGGAGCAAAGCTCACATACAAATATGCTATCATTTGCTAACCCTAGCTAGCTAGAGGAAGGGGGAGGAGTATATATAGGCTAGTCCATGAAGGGGTAAGTGAGAGGGGGAATACATGGGCCTCAGGCCCTGTCCATGCGCGTAGGCTAGCGCCGGATATCCGGGCTAGGGGACGGATGTCTGGGTCTTCGCGGGACGCCGTATGTCCGGGGCACTGGCCGGATGTCCGGCCCGAAGGTGGCCAAACTTCTGATGCATTCTATTGTCGATGCCAGATTTCCGGGGAAGGGCCGGATGTTCGGGTGGTGGCGAGGCGCCGGATGTCCGGGGTCATGCCAGAGCGCCGGATGTCCGACCGATAAAGCTTTTTTGATCGTCCGTTGGTGCAGCTGTTGGGCTGCTACACAGGCACCGGATGTCCGCCTCTGGCCCGGATGTCCGACCGATGTAGCTTCAGCAACATCGTCTTCTTCCGTCTCTGCTTCCGGACTTCCCTCGTGGATGATGTAGTTGTACACTTGCGCTTGCACTCCTCCTCGTCGTCTTTGGTGCTCCGCCAATACCTATGTATGCACACGAGTGGAGTGTCAAGTAGTATACCATCATCGAAGGGGTCAAGTGAGCACATGTAAAGGAGATGATTCACCTTTGGGTATGTGAAGTAGATGTCGCACGTGTCACTCGCCAAATGGGCTCTTGACATGGTGATGTCCGTAGGATGCTCCGCATCATCCCCCCCCCCCTCCTTGGGAAAGATCCGACCTCGGATCGAAAACCAAATCACCATGGGAAAGAGATGGCTTTGCCATGTAGAAGTGGACGTTCACCAAGTACTCATCATCTTCAAGCTTGAAATGGGCACTCTCCAATGGCGCACCGTCTTGTGGTTCCTTCAAAAGAAGCAAGAACAACAAACACTTGGAAAAACAAATGTGGTTAGCGTTAGTGAAAAACCAAGCATTCAAGAGGTGATTCACCCAACAAGTGTCGTCATCATGCAAAGCATATGGTGTGACAAAGGATTGTGACATGGCATCTAAGCATATCAAATGAGCACAAGCAAAGATATCTTGGGGACAAATATGCAATTCTGAGGTAGTGATGCAAATATGTGTGACAAGAGAATAAGCACCTACCTCAAATTTATAGCAAGCATTCACAAAGCGCTCAATGAAAGTTCTGTGTTAGGCATAGGAATCATTCACAACACCAAATAAAATGAAGTGTCTAAATCACATGGGTCAAGTGCAAGACAATCCAAGCATAATGTGCATATGGTGTAGTGAATATAGTGTGGCACTCAACGCAATACAAAGAGAAATTGTTCAACATGTGCGAGGCAATCAATACAAGCATGTAGAAATCAATGAGACATGGGCATATGTGAGGAAATGACATTGGTGCAACCAACCATATGATAGGAGAAAGAACTCAACAAGTTTGATGCAACACACAAGGCATATATATATCATGAGGCATGGAAATGTGAAAATGACAAGTCGAAGCAAGATCTCTAACATATGCGCAATCACGTAGTCCAAGATGACCAATAAGTCTCATGGTGCAAGCAACACAAGTAGTATGATCCGCAATATCCATGCTCAAGAAAGATGTCACATTGAAGGCGTGTCCTTGTGCATCCTTCACAATGCTAAAGTGGTAGGAAATGTGGTGTAGAAGCGATTGTGGTCGAATTATTGGGGAACGTTACATGGAAAACAAAAAATTTCTATGCACACACAAGATCTATCCATGGAGATGCATAGCTACGAGAGGGGGAGAGCATCTTCATACCCTTGAAGATCGCTAAGCGTAAGCGTTTATCAACACGGTTGATGTAGTCGTACACCTTCACAATCGATCCCGATCAAGTACAGAACATACAACACCTCCGTGTTCAGCACAGTTTAGTTTGATGACGTCCTCACCTTCTTGATCCAGCAAGATGGGCGAAGTAGTAGATGAGTTCCGGCAGCACGACGGCGTGGTGAAGGTGGTGGTGAAGAACAATCTCCGGGGCTTCACCAAGCACAATGGAAACTATGATGGAGGATAAACTAGAGGGTGCGGGGTTGCCAACACACGACTTGGTGAATCTTGATGTGTTCCGGGTGCTAGCCCTGCCCCTCTATTTATATGTTGAGCCCCGTGGTCGTATCTTGGAGAAATAGCCTCCTCAAAGTTGGTTTTGCCCGCAAGGCAAGAGTCCTTCTCGAACTCCAGGACCAGATGCCACAGCCCTCGGCATCTAGCCCAGACGCCATGGGCCTCGACTGTCGGGGTTATGATCCTGACAATGATTACTAGGGGTACACATAAGTGGCAGAGACTAGCTACGGCGTAGGTGTAAAAGTCGGTGTTTAACGAGTTCAGGCCCCTCACTCGGTGGAGGTAAAAGCCGTACATCTCATGCCCTGAGGCTTGCTTTGATTTGATGGGTATATTTACAGAGAGTGAACGTGCCCGACCAGGGGGAGGGGAGAAACTTATATTGAGTGCACTGCAACCCCATGTTCCCCACGCCGCCAGGGCAATTAATGCCATTGAATGAGCCATTTATTAGTTTAGTGAGCCTCTACTATAGCAGTTATAGGTAACGTTAGCTATAACTCTATTTAGTGGATCACTTAGGATTCTTCGACCGTTGCAGCTCCCATGATGCCTTCTTGTCATGCATGTCCAAGTTGTAGTTTGTCTGCCGAGTGACATGTGCTTGTCCGAGTGTTGTAGAGCCATCCGAGTGATCTTCCTGATGTATCATCCGAATGCTGACATGGTCCAAAGACCTACCTATGATGGTGATGGGCCCCTTGTTGGT